TCCCACTTGGAAATAAGTGGGCATATTAGCGAGAGACAACTTGGTTTTGTGAAGGGAAGGTCGTGTCTCACTAACTCGGTTGAGTTTTTTGAGGAAGTGACGAAGATGATCAATGAGGGTAGGGCAGTGGATGTTGTCTACATGGACTTCAGTAAGGCATTTGACAAGGTCCCTCATGGCAGGCTGATACAGAAGGTAAAGTCGCACGGGGTCAGAGGTGAGCTTGCAAGATGGATGAAAACTGGCTCAGTCACAGAAGACAGAGGGTAGCTGTGGAAGGGTGTGTTTCTGACTAGTGGCATTCCTCTGGGATCAGTGTTGGGACCTTTGCTATTTGTGATATATATAAACGATTTGGAGGAAAATGTAAGTGAGTTTGCCGATGACACAAAGGTTGGTGGAATTGCAGACAGCGATGAGGACCATTAAAGATACAGCTGGATATAGATCAGTTGGTGACTTGGGCAGAGAGATGGCAGATGGAATTTAATCTGGAAAAATGTGAGGTAATGCATTTTGGAAGGTCTACGCCAGAGGGGAAATATAACAGTAAATGGCAGAACCCTTAAGAGTACTGATAGGCAGAGGGATCTGGGTGTACAGGTACACAGGACACTGAAAATGGCAATGCAGGTGGAGAAGGTCGTCAACATGGCATACGGCATGCTTGCCTTCATTGGCTGGGGCACTGAGTTTAAAAATTGGCAGGTAATGTTGCAGCTTTATAAACCTTAGTTAGGCCACATTTGGAATATTGTGTTCAATTCTGGTCGCCACACTACCACAAGCATATGGTGGCTTTGGAGAGGGTACAGAAAAGATTTAGCAGGATGTTCTGAAGAAGGGTCTAGGCCCAAAACGTCAGCTTTCCTGCTCCTGTGATGCTGCTTGGCCTGCTGTGTTCATCCAGCTTTACACCTTGTTATAGCAGGATGTTGCCTGGTATGGAGGGCATTACCTATGATGAGAAGTTGGAGAAACTTGGGTTGTTCTTACTGGAACGACGGAGGTTGAGGGGCGACCTGATAGAGGTCTACAAGACTATGAAGGGCATGGGCAGAGTGGACAGTCAGAAACTTTTTCCCAGGGTGGAAGAGTCAGTTACTGGGAGCCACAGGTTTAAGGTGCGAGGGGCAAGGTTTAAAGGTGATGTACGAGGCAAGTTTTTTACTCAGAGGGTGGTGGGTGCCTGGGTCTCGCTTCTGGGGCAGGTAGTGGAAGCACATATGGTAGTGACTTTTAAAGGGCTTCTTGACAAATATAAATATATGAATAGGAAGAGAATAGAGAGATACGGTCCCCAGAAGGGTGGGGGTTTTTAGTTGTGACGGGCAGCATGCCGGTGCAGGCTCGGAGGGCTGAAGGGCCTGTTCCTGTGCTGTAATGTTCTTTGTTCTTTGTTCTATATAGAGGGTCCTACTCGGGAAGGGGCAAAACTTGACCTACTCTTGGCAAACAGAGCAGGACATGTGACTGAGGTGACAGTGGGGGAGCACTTTGGGACCAGTGACCATAATTCTATTAATTTTAAAATAGTTATAGAGAAGGACAAAACTGGTCCATGGGTTCAAGTTCTAAATTGGGGTAAGGTGAATTTTGTTGGAATTAGACAGGAGTTTGCAGGGGTTGATTGGAGCAATATGTTTGCAGGCAAAGGGACCTCTGGCAATTGGGAGGCTTTTAAAAGTGTGATAGGTAGAGTTCAAGGTCTATATGTTCCTGTGAGGGTGAGGAGCTAGGTTGGCAGGAGTAGGGAACCCAAAGATGAAAAGAGATATTCAGGCTTTGACCAGAAAAAAGGAGGCATGGCTCAGGTACAGGCAGCTGGGATCAAGGGAATCCCTGGAGGTATATAGGGGATACAGGAGTTTGCTGAAGAAGGAAATCAGGGGGGCAAAAAGGGGGCATGAGATAGCTTTGGCTGAGAAGATTAGGGTGAATCCAAAGAGATTCTTTAAGTATATCGAAGGAAAAAGAATAACTAGAGAGGGAACAGGACACCTCAGGGACCAAAGTGGACATGTATGTGTGGAACTGCAGGAGATGGGCAAGGTCCTCAATAAATATTTCTCCTCTGATTTTACCATGGAGAAAGACATGAAGACTTGGGAACTTGGGCAAGTTAGTGGCAATATACTGGGGACAGTCCATATCACAGTACAGGAGGTGTTGGAAGTATTTGAATGCATGAAGGTGGATAAATCTCCTGGTCCTGATCAGATATATCCAAGAACCCTGCATGAGGCTAGAGAAGAAATCACAGCAGCCCTGGCTGATGTATTTGCATCATCGTTAGCCACAGGTGAAGACCAGGAAGACAGGAGGGTAGAGAATGTTGTGCCCTTATTCAAGAAGTGCTGAAAAGAAAAGCTGAGGAATTATAAGCTTAATATCTAAGGTAGGTAAGTTACTTGGGAAGATTCGGAAGGATAAGATATACATGCATTTAGAAAGATTGGGTTTGTTTAGGAGTTGTCAGCATGGCTTTGTGCATGGGAGATCATGCCTCACAAATCTGTTGGAGTTCTCTGATGAAGTGACCAGGAAGGTTGATGAGGGTAGGGTAGTAGATGTAGTCTATATGGATTTCAGTAAGGTCTTTTATAAGATTCCACACGGTAGACTGCTCTGGAAGATTAGATAGCATGGAATCCAGGGAGAGCTGGCAAATTGGATACACAATTGTCTTGGTTGTAAGAAGCAGAAAGTAAGAGTGGAAGGATGCTTGTTGGACTGGAGGCCTGTGACGAGTGGTGTGCCTCAAGGATCTATACTGGGCCCATTGCTGTTTGTTATCTATATCAATGATTTGGATGAGAATTTACAAGGCATAATTACTAAGTTTGCAGATGACACTACAATAGGCGATATTGTGGACAATAAGGAAGGTTATTAGAAATTGCAGCTGGATCTTGATCAGCTGGGGAAGTGGGCTGAGAAATGGCAAATGGAGTTTAATATAGATAAGTGTGAAATGTTGCATTTTGGAAGTCAAATCAAGGTAGGAATTTCACGGTGAATGGTAGGGTCTTAAGGAGTGTAGGGACCTTGGAGTTCAGGTGCACTGTTCTTTGAAAGTGAAGTCACACTGGAGAGGGCAGTGAAGAAGACTTTTGGCACACTGGCCTTCATCAGTATAGAGTTGTATTGAGTACAGAAGTTAGGAAGTTATGTGGCAGTTGTATAGGACGTTGGTGAGGCAGCATGGGGAGTATTGTGTTCAGTTTTGGTCACCTTGCTATAGGAAGGATGTTATTAAACTGGAAAGAGTGCCAAAGAAATTTACAAGGATGATGCCTTGACTCAAGGGACTGAGTTATAGGGAGAGGTTAGACAAGCTAGGACATTTTTCTGTGAAATGTAGGAAACTGAGGGGGCTCCTCAATCTCCTACACTCCATAGAAAGAAAGTGTATAAAAGCATGAGAGGTATGAATAGGGTGAATGCACAGTCTTTTTCCCAGGGTTGGGGAATCGAGGACTGGAGGGCATCAATTTAAGGTAGGAGGGGAAAGAGTACATGGGAACTTGAGGCACAACTTTTTTACACAGAGGGTGGTATGCATGTGGAATGAGCTGCCAGTGGAAGTGGCTGAGGCGGGTACATTAACAACATTTAAAAGGCATTTGGACAAATATATGGAAAGGAAAGGCTTAGAAGGATATGGGCCAGTGCAGGGAAACGGGGTTAGTGTGGATGGACATTTTGGTCAGCATGGACCAATTTGGGTCGAAGGGCCTGTCTCCGTGCTCTAAGACTCTTTGACTCTAATTCCAAATCAGGTTGTTTCTACAATCGCAGTGGAGAAAGTATTCAACGTCACACAGTGCACACTGGAATTTCCATGGTGCACCGTAGAAGAGCATGGAATCTACCCATTTGTGAGAAAGCATATCCTGGCTGTTCAAAATACCTTTATTGTTACATTGGAAATGGAATAATACTGTATTTGGTCATATCTATGATGAATTACTGTCAGAGTGATCCAAGTTGAAATAATTCTTACATTGAAAATAACAACATTTAAATGCTAGTATGAATATTTGTACAGAAATACATATAGGATAGAATCCCTACAGAGTGCATGCAGGCCATTCAGCTCATAAAGTCCACAGCTACCCTCCGAAGAGCATTCCACCCAAACCCACACCCCCACCCTATCCCTGTAACCCTGCATTTCCCATGGCTAATCCACCTCGCCTACACATCCCTGGATGCTACAAGCAATTTAGCACGGCCAATCCACCTAGCCTACACATCTTGGACTGTGGGAGGAAACCGGACCACGAGGAGGACACCCGCACAGACACGGGGAGAATGTGCAAAAGCCACACCGACAGTCACCCAAGGCTAGAATTGAACACGGGTTCCTGGTGTCATGAGGCTGCAGTGCTAACCACTAAGCCACCATGTTGCCCTGCATAGGTACATAGCATACATAGTAATACACAGTAATTATTATAGAATACATGGTAATTATTTAGAAAAACATAAGAAACACCATTCTTCAGATGAGGCTGTGCCACACTACTAGATTTCAACTGCACTCATTCTAATTCTTCTGATTGAGGCGTGGCTTTAAATTTTTACTGAAAAACCAACAGTCATCACTGTGCTGCAGTCACTATCTGTATTACATTACAACTTCAGTATTGAAATCAATATAACTTCAAAATAAATAAAAATTATCATAAATAACTGTTCCTTAGTATGGTTAGCTTTGTGGCTGTGCTCTCTTAGAAACTCAGTGCACATCTTTGGTAATATTACCAAAAGAGGGAAAGCCATCAGAAGGATCAATTCTGGATATGCTTGCTTGAGTGACATGAGAAAACTTGCAAAAAGGGTCATAATACTTCTAAATAATACTGATTAGTATTCGCTGTTTAAAATATTATACTTTGAAGTTGTAGTTGAATCCTGGATGAAAAATATATATGGATGATAAAGGTTATCAGTTTCACTCATCTTGTTCTTTTTACCCTTTCCAAAAGACTTACCTTTCTCAAACATTTCTTTCAGGACTCCTCGTTTTATTAGTTCCTCTCTGCTTTGTCGCGTGGAAATCTTTCTTTCCAAAGCTGAAAGTAACAGAGATTTTGTTTAGATGCAATGATTATAAATAACAGATAAATAACTACCTGCTTTCCTGCACCAGGCAAAGTGATTTTCTGCTTTTCTGTGATGAGCAAAAACCTCCAAATTCCTCTAGCATCTCACCACAGGTGCATCTACAAGCTTTGCCTGAGCACGAGTAAATCCTCAAACACACAAACAACCTCAGTTGCAATTTGTTCAGGTGCCATTTAAATAGGCTCAGAATGTGTATTGCTTCAAGAATCAATGAGGAAGATGAAGTTTGTACATATTTTGGCCAATTTTATTATCTGGAAATTACTTCAGCCTGACTGTGCACGTGCATGCTTCAGGATTGCCATCAATGCAGGTTGTATTTAAATATAGAAATAGCTAACGGATACAACAAAGGGATAAGCCAGTCAAACTACATCAGCTTCACGATCACTGGATTCACAACACAGTAAAATTAAAACTTTCAATGATCTTCTAAATTGCCTAATTGTTCCTAACCAGACTTTATGAATAACATAAGCATTTTTAAAGTTTTGGCAATTTTCTGTAGCTCGGGTTGTGGGTGAGGTTGTTGACTTGCTCGCCAAGCTGGCGTGTTTTCATTCAGATGTTTCGTCACCATGCTAGGTGACATCATCAGTGGAGCCTCCAATGAAGTGATGTTATTCTACTCCGCTTGGAATTTATACTGTCTGGTCTGTTGTGGTGAGTAGCGTCATTTCCGGTTTTGATCTGCATGGGTTTGTATATGAGGTCCAATTCTAAATGTTTGTTGATTGCATTACATGGTGAACCATGCCTCTAGGAATTCCCGTACGTGTCTATGTTTGGCTTGGGCTTACTATGGTTACCTTGTCCCAGTTAAACTGATGGCCTTCATTGTCTGAGTGTACCGATATTAAGGACAGTTCATCGTGCCGCTTTGCTGCTAGTCGATGTTCATGTATTCTGATGGCTAGTTTCCTTCCTGTCTGTCTGATGTAATGTTTGTGACAGTCATTACATGTAATTTTGTAAACCATGTTGGTTCTGCATGTTGTGGGAATGGGGTCTTTAATCCTTGTAAGTGTTTTCCGTAGAGTGGCTGTAGGCTACCATGATGCTAGTGGTCTTAGGAGTCTTGTTGTCAGTTCCGATATGTTCTTGATGTAGGGCAGTGTGGTCAGTGTGTTAGGGCATACTGTGTCCTCCTGTTGTTGTCTGTTTAGTAGGCATCTGCGGTTGAAGTTGCGGCAATATCCGTTTATAGCGAGGATTTTGTATAGGTGCTCTTCCTTTTTTCTGCGTAGTTCCAGAGTGTTGCAGTGTGTCCTGGCCCATTTGAATAGTGTCCTAAAGCAGCTTTTTTTGTGGATGTTGGGGTGGTTGCTGTGGAAGTTGAGGATTTGATCAGTATGTGTTGTTTTTCTGTGTACTGAGATTTGGAACTCGCCTTTGGTCATACGCTCAACTTTAACATCCAGAAATGGAAGATGATTGTTGTTTTCTTCTTCCCTGGTGAATTTAGTCCCTGCGAATACGCTTTTGATGCGGTGGTGGGTCTCTTTATATTTGTTGCATTTAATAATGGCAAATGTGTCGTCTCCATACCCGATCCACAGTTTAGGTTGAATGCGGCGGAGGGTGGTGTGTTCTAGTCTTTGCATGACTGCTTCTTCAATGAGTCCTGAGGTGGGTGACCCCATTGATGTACCGTTGATCTGTTTGTATACTTGACCATTAAAGACAAAGTGTATGGTGAGGCAGAGGTCTAGTAGTTTAAGTATGTTGTCATTGCTGATGGAGCTGCTGGTCTGCTTTGCTGCTTTCTCTAGTAATGTAGCCACTGTTTTTTTGGTGAGTGGGATGTCAATTGATGTGAATAAAGCTGTGACATCAAAAGATACCATAATCTCGCTGTTGCTGATTTTTATGTTCTTGAGATTATCAAGGAAATCTTGGATTGAATGGATGGAATGGGGTGTTCTGTCGACTAGGTGTTTCAATCTCTGTTGTATGTCCTTTGGCCAGTTTGTATGAATTGACTGCCTGGTAGGGAAACATTGGATCTGAGGTGGATGTCTGGTTTGTGTACTTTAGGAAGTCCATAGAAGCGGGGGGTGTTTGTGCTTTCTGGTTTCATTCTCATGTAGTCCATCTTGGTTATCTGCCCTGCATCCTTTAGTCTCTTTTATGTCTGGGTGATCCTATTACCTAGCTGTGGTGTTGGTTCTATCATCACCTGTTGGCAAGTGGTTGTATCTGCAAGGAATGCCTGTGCTTTCTTAACGTAGTCTGGTTTGTTCATGATGATGGTCCTTTGTCTGCTGGTAGGATTATGATGTTCTTGTCTTTCTTGGGTTTATCTAGTGCTTTTCTCTCTGATGTGTTCAGGTTATCCCGTTTGTTCCTTCTGTGTAGTGTGGGGGTTATAATTTGTCGGATAGCTTGTTGTGTTTCGTCCGTGAGTCTGTTGTCTCCAGGACAGCCATGAAGTCTGTTCTGTTCGCATCAATGTAGTTGTAGTTCAGTCCGCGTAATAGGACAGCTTTCTCAGTTTCTGTGGGTTGTCTGCTGGATAGGTTTCTTATTCATGTGTCCAATTTGTTGTTGTCCTTGTCTTTGTGGTGGATCAGTTTGGTGAGTTACTCCTATAGCTTGTGTCTCTTCTTAGTTTTGGTTTTGTGTTGATTGATGGTTATGGCCTGTTCTAGAGTTGTAGTCCACTGCTGCTCCGTAGTGTTTAGATACTGTGATTTTTGGTGCAAAATTTCCCGTTCGTATCTGTGGAGTCAGTTACGGGCATCATTAATCATTGCTCATAGTATTCTGTGTCTGTTCTATTCAACTATTTTATATGCCTGTGAGTTGTTGAGTGGAGGTTTGTACTGCGGGGCAGTACCTGGTTCCTGAGGCATTCGTGGAGAAAGTGAAGTTGTTCGCGGGTAGAGCTCAGTCGGTTGGCAAAAGTTTCCCATTTTCAGGCAATTTTTAGCATGTCACGCCCGTAGGTGTTTAAAGTTTTGGCAAAGATCTGTAGCTCGGGTTATGGGTGAGGTTGTTGACTTGCTCGCCGAGCTGGTTTGTTTTCGTTCAGGCGTTTCGTCACCAAGCTGGTGACATCATCATTGGAGCCACTGAAGAAGCGATGTTATTCTACTCCGCTTGGAATTTATACTGAATGGTCCGTTATAGTGAGTAGTGTCATTTCTGGTTTTGATCTGTATGGGTCTGTATATGGGGTCCAATTCTATATGTTTGTTGATTGCATTACGGGTGGAGAACCAAGTGGAGTAGAATAACATTGCTTCATCGGAGACTCCATTAATGATGTCACCTAGCATGGTGACGAAACATCTGAACGAAAACACTAAATTCCAACTAGGAATCATGGCAGCCCAGAGCCACTCTACGACAAACACTTACACAGATTAAAGAGCCCATTTCCACGAGATTCAGAACCAACGCGGTTTACAAAATACCACGCAATGACTGTCACAAACATTACATCAGACAGACAGGAAGGAAACTAGCCATCAAAGTACATGAACATCAACTAACAGCAAAATAGTACAACGAACTGTCCTTAATATCAGTACACTCAGACAATGAAGGCCATCAGTTTAACTGGGACAAGGTAACCATAGTAAGCCCAAGCCAAACATAGACACGTACGGGAATTCCTAGAGTCATGATTCACCGCTCATAATGCAATCAACAAACATTTAGAATTGGACCTCATATACAAACCCATGCAGATCAAAACCGGAAATGACACTACTCATCATGATGGACGAGACAGTATAAATTCCAAGCGGAGTAGAATAACATCACTTCATTGGAGGCTCCACTGATGATGTCACCTAGCATGGCAATGAAACGTCTGAACGAAAACAAGCCAGCTCAGCGAGCAAGTCAACAACCTCAACATAAGCATTTAAATTTTTAAAAATTGATTATCACCACCACTCACACACTGGCAGATTCAGTTAAGGGATAAAGTGAAATGAAAGTAACCAGTTCAATAAAGTTTCCAATGTGGAAAACAGGCCTTTATGAAATCCTTGGACAATAGGTTGTTCATAGGTGTGTGGAACTGTATATCTTGCTTGAATTCCAAAGTTACTGGTTAATGCAAATAGTAGTAGTAAACTTCTAGAAATATATTTGCTTATTTCTCGTAGACTGGCATTTTTTTCTCAGAATTTTCAAGAATTCGATAATTGGATAAAAAACTAGAGAGAGCATACCAAAGCAGCAGCTTCCTGAAGTTTTCAAAAATTGCTCTCCCGTCAAAACCCAGTCAGAATCAGTTTTTTTTTAATCTCCTCTTCCAATTAAAATTGCCTTTGGTCGGCTGGTTAACAGTGGTCCTCCCTTGACTGATTCAACATCCAACCAGCTGCCAGCCCAAAGCATAGGAAAAGCTTGATGCCAATTTATGTACAGTGTCATTAGAATGTAATTGAGTTACATTTTCTTATTGGCCATCTGTCTTTTTCCTCTTCTTCTTTAAAACAAGCTGCTGTTCAAAGTGCAACTCTTAACCTCAACTCACTATTCCAAACGAAAAAAAAGAAAATAAAAGAAATATCGTGAGGATCTCTACACAAACAATATTGAATGGTCATCAATGCATGAAGATACATAAACACAGAAACACACAAAATAGGAGAAGTAGGCCATTTAGCCCTTCAAGCGTGTTCCACCATTCATAAAGATTATGGTGGATCACCCAACTCAATAGCCTGTTTCCGCTTTTACCAATATCCTTTGACCCCTTTAGCCCCAAGTGCCACATCCAACTCATTCTTGAAATCATACTATAATTTAGCCTTGACTGCTTTTTTGGTAGTGAATTCCACAGGCTTATCATTGTACGGGGGAAGAAATTTCTCATCTCATTTCTGAATGGTTTACACCATATATTTAGACTGTGACCCTGGTTCTGGACTCCCCTGCCACTGGGAACATCCTTCCTGCATCTACCCTATCTTGTCCTGATAGAATT